GAGACAGGGTCTCCCTGTAGTCCCAGCTGTCCTGGAACTCACTATGTAGACCAGGCTGGCCTTGAACTCAGAGATCCAGTTCCGCCTGGGATTAAAGGCCTGCGCCACCATGCCCAGCTCAATTTTTTAACAGTGACTTAATATGACTGTTGTCCATTCCTTGGGTGTTACTACCTATGCAACACCAATAAAATTTCCAATTGCACTATAGTAAATCAACCACAGAGAGGTCTGCTTCCCTTCAGGGGCCACCATGGCCCCAAGGCTGGCCAAGAAGGTGCCCCTCCCCTTAAAGCTCAAGGTCTAACCCCTTGGCACAGCAGGAAGGTCTGACCCAGGGAATGATCTACCTAAGGCTTTGCTCCCAGCTTCCCATACCATGTGACAATATTGCCCCTGGCAGGCTGGGCCTAAATCCCCAGAGGGTCCTCTTGGATAAGAGGAAAGTGGCTCTGGCACCCATGGCTTACTTCTGACTACCCTACTTATAGCCTAGCCCTCCTCATGCTTTGCCTCATGTTGAAACTACTTGTTTTTTTGTTCTCTAGGCTATGGTTTGTCCCACCCAAGCTCAGGGTCTCTACCCAGGCAAGATTCGTATGTATCACTCACTCCCTTCTACCCTCTGACCCAAGGACAGCTCCACCTTACCACCAGGGCATCCAATTGTCTCTTCAGCTAAGAAGGTGGGAATAGTGCTCTCCCAGACCTCCCTCTCTACAGCTTACACCTCTCCCAAATACACCCAACATTAACTGGTTACTAAGTTTCATGTGGAACCTGTGTCAGGAGCACCCAGGAGGAATGTTCCCACAGGCCTCCCTGTTCCCTCACCTGATCCATCCAGACAGGCTTGGACCACACTGGCTGCACTCCATTCTGACCTTCTACTAGTCCATGGCTCTCTTACCTTCCCACCCATTACCCAGCTGCCAACGACAGCAGGCTTCAGGGTGTAGGCCAAGACTCATGAGTACTTTATGAACAGTATGGGGTGCCACATGAAGCAAGGAGTCAAAGGGACAATGCTGTTACTATGCTGTGGTCCAGGCAAAGTGGGAAACCTAAGTACACCAAGCAGTCCAAGACCATAGCCTGCCCTACCCTGGTGTGTTCCTGTTGTATTTCCTACAGCATTCTACTCTCTAGAGTTCTGGTTTAAAAAGAAAAAAAACTCTTCCCCTCAGACCACAGTTCAGCCACTGTGCTATGTCCAACAATGTCCGGACAGAAGAATACCTAGAAATAAAACAGACCCTGCCATGGTAAACAACATGCAGATGGTGTGAGGCACTGTGATTAGGAACCAGAGCAATACACAGGAATATGGGGCCACCTGCTTGGGGTCTGTATCAAGCTTCTGCCCACTATGACTTCTTACTGACTACTGCCCAAGTTCATGTCCACACTGTTGGCCTGAACAATGGTTCTAAGGTCAGTCTCCATAACGTACCCATAGCCTAACTAAC